GAGTAGAGGGCGGGAGGTTGGAAATCTATGCCATATGAGGAAAACCCAGGAGAGTGGTAGTTCACCGAGAGAACACTTAAGGAAGAAAGAGAACTTACTGGGGTGTGTAACTGTGCTGATATGATCACAACCAACGTTAGAAATGGGAGGCTTTAAACATTTTTATATTTAGCGTACATGCGCATGTATGTGTGTACAAGTTCACGTCACAGAACCTACGTGGAGGCCAGATGACAACTTGCAGGAGTCCCCTCTCTCCTACTGTGTGGGTCCCAGAGTTTGAACTCAAGAGTGTCGGGCTGGACAATAGTTCCCTTTACCTGGGCTCTGGATAGCTTTTCACTTGGTGTACAAAGACTCCTAATGATCAATGTCAAGAGCAAGTAATTGACGAAGCATTTACCACTGCCTGGGCAGGGAGACAACTGAATATGAGAGTGGTTTCCTAGCCCACGAAGCAAAAACTCCCTCATTGTTAGAGCAAATAAAGAAAGCCCAGGGCTCTGAGGTCACTTAGTATGTGAAGGTGCTGGCCACCAAGTCATGAGGAAAGGAGAGAACTGACTCTGGCAAGCTGTCCTGACCTCACAGGGTGCCCATGGCACGTCTCCACAGATGTGGTAATAAAAAGGGTAGCTGATTAGAATGGCCATCTCTTAAGGATCCAGAATTGGGATAAAGACTGAAGTTCATGAGTACAGCAGAAGCCTAACCTAAAATGATCATTTTAAGGGTCTGGCACCCCAACAAAGCTGGCAGACAGCATTAGAACAAGGTAACTACTCGATGCAGGGCTGGGTCTCCAAGGACTGCAGTGCCTTTTGAAAGACTTTCCCCAGCGTACAGAACGATGAGGCTCATTATGGCATTTCCACATGTATGCCATTATACACTGTTCTTACCCATCCTCGGCCACACTCTCCTCCCTCGTCCCTTCTTCCTGTCCCCTTCTCCCCCAACACTGTTCGCCTCTTCTGCTTTCACCCCTCACAACTCTTTCCTCACTCCCTCACCTCCCCTAGAATCACTTCCCTGCCTCTCAATTCCTTTTCTACTCCACACACAGCCACACAAACACAGACGTACACAGATGAACACACAGATTGAAGGCTGAAGTCCACATGTAAGAGAAAACATCTGGCACCTGTCTCAGTCTGTCTGATTTTGCTTAACATGGTAACAGCCAGCTGCAGCCCTTTCCTACCTCTGCGATGATTCCATTTCTCTCTACGGCTGAATAATGTGGCACAGGCACATGATGAAATTGTATCTGTGTATCAAGCTTCCTTATGGCCGTTAAATTACATATGAAGTGGAGCTCAAGTTAACTTTGACATGGAGCTTTACTGACCCCTACTGGTAAATATGAATATGAATATACTCCAAAGTTTGTTTTCTAAAAACCACGATCAATATACTGACAAAAACTTGAACTCTCCTTTCAAAAATGAGTTAAAATTGCCAGACTCTGGTTAGATCTGGATAGTCCCGTTGAGGAAGAACAGTGTCAGTTGTTGGTTCCATCAGTGGGGAAATGAAGCCCAAGCTTAGGCCTCTGCAGAGTGCCTTCATGATAGAGCCAGTGAGGAAAATGGCTACTTAGGCTACCTAGCTATAAACTAATATGAACAAAAGAGAGAGGGAGACCATGTCAGCTTTCTACGGTAGGCAGAACATATGGCATCAGGATTAGATACAAAAGAGAGGGAGACCATGTCAGCTTTCCACGGTAGGCAGAACATTTGGCATCAGGATTAGATACAGTTGGCTGATGTGTTTGATGGTCCTGCCAACCTAAGAAAATGAAACTCGGCTGGGGTAGAAGAAATAGGTGCCATTAACATTTTGATAGAGTGTAAAAGGTCGCCCTTTCCCAATTGTGACCCCTCATTGTGACTTTAAAAGGAATCATATGCTTCAAATGTTTTTCCTTCTATATAATTTAAAATTTTTACTGAAAGACCAATAAACGAGTTCTTTTCCCAATTTTACAAAGGAAAGCTTTGAGGAAGGAAAAGTCCTTCCTCAGAGGTGAAGCTTAGCTCCTTGCAGGTGCAGAGTCCAGCCCAGAGGGTCTGGCTTGAGTCAGTTTGCACCCTGCAAGTTCATGGAGGGACTCCCAGGCCATGTTAGTCCCCTCACATGACTCAAACCTAGTGATTAAGTAAGAAAATGGCATTCTAGCTTTGCTCTGTTTAGTGCTGTGGGGATTACTGCCGAGATTGCCATCTCTGTATGCTGAGCACACACGCGTCACTTACACTCTGTCATCCCAGTGCTAGCTGAAGAGGAGGAGGACAGATTCATGGTGGGAGCACAGCGAATGCTGGTAGATAATGGAGATGAAGGTGTCTACACTCCCCATTTGTGCAGCTGCTTATGGTTGTGGCCCGTCTTCCAGACACACATTTTCACAGGACCCTGAACGTGCCTGAAGTAACTCTTCCTAAACTTGATGAAAACGCAAACTTTTCACTTAAGTCTTGTCTCCAGATGATATAACTGGTTTCTTTTTCTCTCAGGTGCAATACCTTGAACTCTCACTTATTTCTCTAAGATGGAGCAGGTTGGGGACAAGGCTAAGCCTGTGTCAATGCAGGGTCTTTGGATTCACATGTATTTCAATAAATCATGGAATTACACAGCATACATTGTATGTCTAGCAAAACATCTGTAAAGTGGTCAGAGCACATGGCGGGGGTGGTCACAAGCCCTAGCAGCAACTGTTGAACATCTCAAGCTGTCTTCTCAATACCTTTGTTCATATCCACAGACAAGACAAAGGGTATTCTAAGCCTTGCCAGAGAAGTCTGTCTTTGCAGGGAATAAAGAATCCATGGCTGTCCAAGGTGCTGAGAATAACTGATGGTTGAGAGGTCAGCCCTAAACAAGATATTTCATACCCCCTGAAGAGCCCCTCTAGAAGGGGAGCACACAGACTGTGGGAGCCGGAAGACAGACAAGGGCTGTGAAACGCCATCTTCTGACTACAACACAGCTGTCGCACTCCTGAACTCTTAGCAGCTGCGATGATCTGTCCTGAGGCTGCACGAGACAGGCCCTGTCAGCAGTCGTGAAGAGGGAGGGAGTCATGGGCCCCCAACCACTGGCTATGAGAGATCTGAGAGAGGGGGAGTCTTTGGTTCCGCTGTACTCACTGGTGAGCCCAGCAGGCTCCAGTGGACACTTCTAAACCCACGGACACACAGATGACCCTAGTTAAACTCAGTGGGTCACAAAACAGACACAGATTTGGGAAAGGGTTTTGTAGGGAGGAGGAGAGGGCCTGCGGGGGAGGGGGGTAAGATAAAAGAGAGTGGGGGGGTATAAGTAATTCTAATGAACTGCATACAAGTAGGAAATTGTCGAAGAACAAATTGTTGTAAAATGTTGAATGGACTAGATTTTATAAAGGATAGCAACAGTTGCAGAAAGTAGTCAGCTTCAAATTCAGTAATAATTTTAAATTATTTCATTTAAAAAAATAAAATTTTATTTTTTACAATTAAATTTATTAAATTTAATTAAAATAATTTAATAACTAGCAGCAACCCTAATCAGGTTTTTTGGTCTTTTTGCTAATATCGGTATGTCACAAATTTTAGGATGACAATGACTGTTTAATGTGGCTGAAGTAGCCCAGCAGTGGATAACAGGGGTGACGTGAATGTTTAGAGCTCTGCAGCACAGTACCTCAGATTTGTAGTCAGTGCCTCCCCAGGGCAGAGGAGGAAGCACATCAGACTAGAGTCCTGGCCAGGGGTCTGGCGGCAGTCCTGTAACTCACTACACTGTCGCCTGTGGCCAATCACTCTACCTTCCTAACTGTCGGGGATCTTTTATCTTGTACTCGAGTCGGCTCCATTACAGACTATGAGAAAGGGAGCGCATCTTACTCAGGACTGTTGGCCTCTATGGTCTGTACTCCTGCTTGAGGCCTAACACAGTAGGAACTCCATTGTGTCTGTGGCTGAGTAAACTACAGGAAGATGGAAGAGAAACAGGATCACATGACTCAGGAAGTTTCCGTGAGGTTTAGACAGTGTTGTGATCTAATCCACAGGGAACTGGGTACACTCATTTATATTTATAATCACATACACATTCTTGTCCTGGTCTTCAGAAATTACAGTGGCTATGTAAGTCAGACCATTGCAAATGACTGCAGAGCCTATCTCCTCCAGCATTCTAAGGCTAGACCAAACGCCTGCCTGCCTGATGACACACAAGACTTCAGTCATTGCCAGTAGTAGTTAAGACTGATGAAGTCATCTATGCTTTTCACTACTGCAGGAAATGGTGTGAACGAGCTGAGTGTACACCGGTGTACACCGCAGCAGTCTACAGGACCCAACACCCTGCCACATTTTAAAGAGACAAGCAATTTATGTAAACTAGTATGGAAAGAAGACATACTGTTTGGTAGAGGACAAACTATGTAAACAACACATTTATTAGCTACAAAGTCAAAGCCTATACTTTCTAAATGTTGGACTATGAATAGACCTAAATAACCATGAAAGGCCTGGGCACTTTGAGCCGGCTGACAAGGGAGGCGTGTGTGTGGAGGGAGAGAGATGGCGTTGGCTTTTACTGGTGTTGCCTAAACATTTCCTATGGATGAAATGCGGAAAAAGACAGAAGCAGGAACGTAACCAGTCGAGAGCAGCCAGTAAGCCTTCCTTAAGTACTCCAGGTGGAGAACTGGTGCTTAGTTTTATACAAACAGGAGCTCAGTCTTTGTCAGCCTTCAGGAGCACACAGGTATTCTTTACAAAGTGAGTGGGGTAGTTTCTGAGAGAGAAGACACACTTAAAGCACTATTATCTGCCAGAAGATAAGAGACTTGCCAAAAAGGAGTTAATCATGAAATTAGAACGATTGAGAAAAGATACACTTCCTAGTTACAAATGACAGTGACGGGGAACTAGTAATTAGACAAGACTCTTATTAGTATGACATATAGTCTTTGAATAGTCTGTTAAATAAATGAAGAAGTGTCTTTTTTATCAGTTTTATTTTGTATCATAATTGATTTGATGGATAAATATCACATAATTTCTAACGTCTGGGGTCACGCACCAGTACCTGACTATAAATTACTGACCAGCTGCCGAGCTGCTTCTTGCCTCCCAGAACTCTTCTGACTGTGACCGCTCCTCTCCTACAGACTCCTTCAGTTCCTCTTGGTCAGTCTGCCAAGAAGGCTCCACCTCTTCCACTGGCTTCTTCTCTTGGGATGGTGTTCTCTGTGTGGAGCCTCTCTCTGAAAATGGCTTCTGGACCTGGGACATGGTTGGCTCCTGTAACTCTAAACTCACCGAGGGATCTGTCGCCGAGTCGGCACCACTGAACACATCATCCGACCTCGCAGGGGGCTGCATGCCTTCCTTACGCTCGTAATTGTTTAGCCTTCTTTCCACCACTTCACGGATCAACACTGAAAAGTTCAGAGGTCATGAGTTTCCATACTTTCCTTAGAAATGACTAGAAAGCCTCGCTTAGGCCTTTGCCACTTCCCATTAACCTTTATAAATTTATCACAACAACTTTCCTCAATGCATTGGACAGGTTACATCCTTTGCTTCTTTGGATAGCAAGTACAAAGCGACAACAGAAGGTATTACATGAGGAAGTGATTGGAAACCCAGGACAACAGAGGTGGAGCCTGTACCCTTGTTAACAACTGATAAGCCAAGTGTAAGAACCACCACCACCACCACGAATGTTCCTTCCTCACTTCCTCTTCCTCACCAACAAGTTTAGAAACAGCTTTTATATCAAATAACTTACTGTCAAGCATGGTTCTTCCCACCATGCTGTGTTCCATGGTTTTTTCAACTTCATTCATCAGCCATGGAAGGAATCCTACCTCAATATCTGCAATAAAGAATTTCATTAAGCCATTTCTGCAGATCACTAGACAGTATGTGCTTCCCCAATGTAAGGCTGCTCAGCAGCACTGTCTTCTCAATGTAAAACATTAAACAGACTCCTCACTCAGCGTAACTTTGGCTGTATTCTCTATACATGCTCTGCTCAGCTTCCCTCTACTGCAGAAGTGTTAGCAAATCATGAGGTTTCTACAGAGTCAAAATACAGCTGTACCCATAGGCACAATCTGAGATGGACAGAGAAGATGCTGATCTGGGAAAACCCTACTCAAGTGGGACGCAAGCCTGGGCATGAGCATTGTTGGGAAAGAGAATTCCCTTGAGGCCAGAGCCAATGGAAATGGACCAGCTGAGAGGGTATCTGAGAAAGGGCATCTAGAAAGCGCTGCAGATGAGGTGAAGACTAGGCACATCTGTTAGCAGACACTTGCTCCAACTTCAGTGGGCGATCCACTGTGCGAGACTTACTGCCCATTAAATCTACACTCAAAGTTTCAAGGTGGTTTTTAGGGCATCTATTTAATAGGATGATAATAGAGAGTGAGAGAATACAGTACTTGCTATTATACATAACATATCTCAGGTAAGATTTTTATTTTCAAGGTTTAAACTATATAACAGACAAAACAACTATTACTTTTCTCTGTGACCAATAGCAAGAGGTCAACTCTTACGGTTTGAATCTTAACTATTTCCCCAAAGTTCATGGTTCCCAGGTGATGGTATGTTGGGAGGTGGGGCCTGGTTGAGGAAGTACATCTTCGGGAAGTGTGTGCTCTTGAAGGGCATATTAGGACCACATCCCTTTTCTTTACTGTAACAGCTTTGATTCCCACAAAGGCCCAGAAACAATGGAGTCAAATGTCTATGTATGGATCTGTATTGAAATTCCTGAACCCTGGATGAAATCAATCTTTCACCCCTTTAAGGTGATCACCCCGGGTGTCTTGTCACTGTGACAGATGAATGACACACTACCTAGAACGAAAGGCAGGATGGGAGCAGAACAATGGAGCTGTAGTTCCATGTCAACCTGAGACCTAAATACACCTGAGCTGGCTAGTCTCAGTTGTCAACTGGATCACATCTGGAGTTAACTAAAGCAGAAGCAGCTGGGAACATCTGTGAGGGCTCTTTCCTTGATTGAATTATTTGAGGTGAAAGACCCACCTAAAACCTGAGTCACACTTCCTGGTGGCAACCTATACAAAGGACATGGAAGGAGGAAGCCTTGGCTTTTTGTCTGCTTGCCCTCACGCTCACTGGCAAGTTCATTTCATCCCTGGTATTAGAGCCTTCTTCAGGATTCCAGTGTATACTGAAGACCAGCTGAGACATCCAGCTTATCCAATTACTTATTGGATAAGCCACTCTGACAAATTCCATTTTTATATACATAGATTCAGTCTATTTCTCAGTTCTGTTTCTCTAGAGAACCCTGACTAATACAGATTTTGGTACCAAGAGTGAGGCTACATCTTCTGGTAAGGGTGCAGAGACTTCCTTGGGGGAGATTCAGTTCTCAGCCTCAGTGGGGTTCTCCCACACATCTCCATCCCAAGGTACAGGATGTTGTTCTTTACCAATTAATGCCCGAGTTTCAGCCACTGTCACCCTGAAGCTGGCACTCGAATTTTTGTTGAATCTGGCCAGTGTTCTAATGAGGGCTTCAGTTTGATTTTCTGCAACTTGAGCTCCATGGCTGCTGGAGAAAGATTCTCTTCTGTACATACTTGGAAACCTCTAGACTTCTATACGCATCTTCAGCCAGCCAATTATATCACTGAGTTCACTGTTGTCCCTCACCACCTGAGATGCTAGCAGCTGGTTAATTTTATCATGGAACTCATTGTTTTGCCAGTTTATCCAGAGATGCTAGGAACAAGCAACTAGCAATCATTTTTCTTATTTCCCCACAAATTATCAAAGTTTCACATACAGTGTCACTAAATTCCTTGCTTCTCACAATAGGTCAAATAATTTGTCTCGATAAGTTTCTTAAATAGTTCACATCACAGGTTTCTGCTGCTCTCCACACTTCTAAGAGAGGCTTTAGTAACTGTATGTGTTGGCAACCAGAAAAATCTGTTCCAGATACTTTTTTCTTCCTCCTTCCTACTCCCTTCTCTTCCTTCTCTCCCTCCTCCTCCTCTTTCTTCTTTTTTCAAGACAGGGTTTCCCTGTGTAGCTCTGACTGTCCTGGAACTTGCTCTGTAGCCCAGGATGGCCTTGAACTCAGAGATCCACCTGCCTCTGCCTCCTGAGTGCTGGGATTAAAGGTGTGTGCCACAACTGCCTGGAATGTTCCAGATACTTTTAGAAAAATGCATCCTTATACTTTTGTTGCGCTACAACCACATTTAGTGCCAAAATATGTGGTAGTCAAGGTTCTCTAGAGAAACAGAACTTATAGAACGAATCTGTGTATATAAAATTTCATGTACTTTATGATTTAATTCCTAAAAAAATGCATCATTTCAAACAGGAAACTGGAGGTCATAAAGCTAATGAAACTGGGACCTAAACTCATGTTTCTGACATCAAGTCCACTGTTCTTTCTAATATATAATCCTGCTTCTCAATAAAGAGATGCTACTATCCTAAATCAACACCTTTATAATACACTACTTTAAATATTTAAAATTTTCTTTTGATAGCTACCTAATGATGGTACATACTTAGAGGGTGTGATACAATAAGTTTCATAACAGTCAATTTTCATCATAATAAATGAACAATATGTAAACAACTATAACTGACTTGTTTCAGAAATATAAACATTGTAATTTAAAATAAAAAATGGCCGTGAGGCAATGCATGGTGGCACATACCTGTATTTCCAGCACCCCTGAGGAGGAGGAGGAAAAGGAGGAGGTAGGAGGATCATGAGTTTGAGGCTGGTCTGTACAACAAAAAAAAAGTTCGGGCAGTGCTTGTACACATGAAATACATTTGAAACAGTGAGAATGTTCTCAGTGTAATAATGAACCTAACAGAAGTCTCCACAAACCTCTTTCAACTGGATCATAAAAGTAGCCACTGTTCCTGAGACTGTCAAAGACGGACGGGAGAAGGTCAGCCAGGTACCGCTGTGCGAACGCACGAGCCGAGATCTTCTGTGCCGTCTCATTGTGCTTATGTACAATTTCCCACTGCTGCTTCTTACGGCGTTCCTGCCAAGAGAAAGATGTCATTGCAGGAGGACATCTGAATAGTCTGTCCTCTCAAGCGCTGGAACCAGTGAGGCTAAGTATGTGGAGGAGTCTACAGCTGCAGAAAGTGGTCAGCAAGGTGTCTGTCAAGGACTCACCGTGATGAGCAATTAGTGGGCATTGAGTTTACCAAGAGACCTAAGGTAAAACTCATCTCCTGACCCAGTTTCAAAATTTCTATGCTTAACTGTATGCATGCCATTAAAAAGAAAATGGCAGCTGGATGCAGTGGCATATACCTTTAATCCCTGTACTTGGGAGACAGAGGCAGGAGAATGGTGAGTTAAATGCTATCCTGGGTTACACAGGAAGACTGTCTAAAACAACTATGATAGAAAATGACATGCATTTTTATTAGTAACATCATGAAGTAGTACTAACATGAAATTTTATCCTTAGGTATCTTCCATCAGACAACACAGGCCAGTGGCCAGTGGTCTGACTTGTGTTTAGTATCTCTTTGAATTGACAAAGCTGAAGTGGCTTTGAAGATCACGAAAGCTTGTTTTGTGTGGTTGTCTCATAGGTATGTGGTAGGTCACATAACATCTATAAAGCTAATGAATGATTTTCTATGTGCTTATACAGAAGTGGGGGCATTAATATATTTTTCAAATCATCTATTTTCAAGGTGTAAAAACACATACAAATATAGATGACTACTTATATTCTAGAGTTTTTCCCATGACATATATTTTCTGGTAAATTTTTTATTATTTTAATATAGTTTCTACAGTCAGTGTCTATTTTATATATGCAAGCCAAGGTCTGCACAGGAACCTTTCTCACTATGAGTCCTATGTTCACGTAAAAGATTAGTAATTTTGGAAGAAAATATAAAATATAGTTGATTAAGTATTGAGTAGAATTTTCCAAAAATGTACTTTTCTTCACAGTGATCTGGGCCCTTTGGGAGCCCATTCTCATTGATTTAAGTATTCTGGCACTACTTCTTGTTTATTCAGTGGATAAGAAAGAGTGACAGCCATTGCCAATACCACAAAGACCCTTAAGTATGATTAAATAAGCTGTGTCTAGATGTAGGTTGATACACTTTATTACAATGAGTTATAAAACCTTTCTTATTGAAGAGTCATAGAACATACTTTGGGAACCAGAGCCTGAGCACCAAGAAAGAGACCTGGCATTCCCGGCTGACTACGCCCACTACTCCCCAGCACCTCTCCCTCTTTCTTTCCTTTCATCTTTCTGCTGCCGGATGATGGCAAATGAAGGCATTTCTTCCTCTAGTGCTCCTTCCAAACTCTTGGTATTTAAGAGCACCATCCAGTTTGGACACATGTAATATAGGAACCTAAATCTCATCGGGAGCTTTTGGAAGTTGACTTAGATACATTAACAGAAGGTGGAATTTACAAAATGTAAGTCAACCACGAGAGATTTATGACCTACAGGAGAGACCAGAGCAATAAACACTGTAGGTCTTTTTCACATGTATTTCAAAGGGTCACTAGCTTCATGATATCACAATATACATGATATATGTAAGCTTGAATGTGATGTATTAAGCAGCCAAAAGACTCAAGAACAGCTTTGGATATTACACATAAAGGGTGGAAGGCCCTGGGTTCATTCCTGAAGAAATAAGAGAGGAAGGAAAAGAGCAAGACAGACAGACAGACAGACAGACAGACAGACAGCTCCACCTTTTCTTCTCGGTGTCGTCTCTCCTGCTCTTCCAGCCGCTGCACTTCAGCCAGCTCAATGTTCCGGATCTCCTCATATGCATACTGACTGGCCCGCAGGTTGGCCAGCTCCTCCTCTTCCATCACTTCCAGAAGGGCCTGCTCAATCGTCTTCCCCACCAGAACTTGTAACATTGGCTTGACTTCGAGGTCAAAGTCAAAGAGCTGAAACACAAGGGAGCAAACAGGATTTGAACCTTGGGCCCAATGTGTACCGAGAGAGTGAAGGCGAGTGACAAGAGGAGGTGGCCTTTTGTCGTCTGTGCCAGGCTCTGCACTACCACCCTGTGTGTGTGTTCACTCTCAGAACAACCCCACAGGCACACAGAAGAGCGTCCTGATTACAGGCAAACATCTACTAAGTCAAAATAATGAAAGAAGTCTATGTTCATCAACATGAACTCCAATTCTCACTGAGTTTAAGGTAGAATTCTGAAACTAAAGGGAAATGTCCTTGACTTTCCTAGTGTCTTTTTTTTTTTTTTTTTGCTAAACATTTATTGACTAAGGACCAAGAAGAATAGTCCCCTCTGCAGTGACTCTTGTCTAAACATTTATTGACTAAGGACCAAGAAGAATAGTCC